ATTCCCCTTAAACATGGGATATAATTTAAAACTATCCTTTTTTTTGGTCTAACTTATTATGCTGATTTTTTGTTGTTTGGAAAATTAGTTTCTCTATCATTTCTCTCTGGTATCCTTGTTGTTCACAATAAATTTACTTTATACAAAGTAAAAAAACCACAATCCGAACACATGACAATTTCAGAACATCATGCCAATGGTTACAACAAAATAACAGTCCTGATGAAGACAGATAAATTGAAAAGAGTGGTATTACTAAAACAGTCAACCTACAACAAGAAATTACGTAAATATATTACAAGCACAGAATGCCAACCAGCACCAATCAACTTTTTAGAAACAAAACAACAGAAGGTTAAAAAGTTCACACCACCCCCTTGGCACGACTTTTACATATGCAAGCCTCTCCGGTCCAGAAACCAAAACAACCAGAGAATTTTCACATTCGCCAAAACACACAAACCAGAAAACCAAATATGTCCAGTGATCGAGAAATGAAACTCTCCAACATTTTTAATTGAAAAACAACTGGTCAAATTCTTCCAATCCAAAGCTCATTGCCATCCATTTTCAAATAACAACTCTCTGAAGCTTATAGAAAGTCTCAATGGCATTTCTCTATTGGACAATGAATGTATGACTAACTTAGATTTTAAGTCGATGTATCCTTCTATAAAAATACCTCCATGTTTTTGTGCAATAAGAGATTTCTTATTTGCCAACATTGAAAATGCACCACAACATCACAATCAGATACTAGAACTTGTACACCTAATATGTTATACATCATTCTTTGAAATTGAGAATGAGATATATTTACAAGGAAGAGGAGTTACAAGGGAGAGGAATGTTAATAAAGAAAAACGATTGTTGTAAAATGTTTGCCAAGTGTTTGAAATTTTCCCTTCTTCCTTAAAATTGATACATTCCCTTCTCCATCCTTTGCTTTTTTTTTGCTTTGTAAATTTCTAGAGCTTCCTGTGTTTTAGCATGCTCAATTTGAATAATATGCCCAATTAGGCTAGTTTGTTCAAAGTTAGATTTCACTCCTGTTTCAGAGGCATATATGGACAGAGCAGTGGTTTGTTTCTTCTTTTCAATGTTATATTTGTGTTCCACAGTATATTTATTTAGTGATCTGATACAACTGACAACATCATTATTATCTGGAAAGCTAAGACATTGACAACTTTTTATATCATATGAACAACAATCTATACAGACTAACTCTGAAACTTGAGTAATTAAACAATAACACAGCACATTTTTTGGACATAAATATCCAATTCAAAAGCAGTGACACTGATATATACAGTAGAGCACTGATTATCTGAAACAATTCAGGGCTGGGGTTGTTCGGATAACTGATCATTTATGAAAAATATATTAAATACAAAACTGTCCTGTATATAATTTGTATCACATGTCTTACAAATACATATCTTACTTAATGTAGTACATTAAACTAGGCCTACAGTTTAGGTTGGCAGAGAGGGGGAAAGTACAGCAGTACCACAGCACTAGTGAAAATTTGAAATTTATGACTGGAACATTTTTGGTTAGCCAATGTTTTGGTTGATTGGTATTCGGATAATCAATGCTCTACTGTACTACAAAACAGGATACCAACTTTTATTTATATCAGTCGACTCCAATGACCTATAAGAATACAAAATGACTGCATTTAGAGACCTAATTAAACGTGCATTCACACACTGTTCAAACACCCTAAACACCATAAGAGTTAAAATGCATGAGAATATTGCTAGCAAACTTGGATAATCTAAACAAATGATCAAAAAGCTAGCATTCATATATGCTAATAAGAATAGCAAGTGCACCAAAATTATCACAACCCCAACACACAAGTAACCCTAAAAGAATGATAATAGAATATGACCAAAGACTCCACCCAGTTTATATACAGAAATATTAAAACACAGATGCATCAAACTTATGTACAGAAGTTATCCTCAATTTATAAACTTTTACATTATTGTACAGATCCTGTAAATAAAATGAGAGCACCAGGAATAAATAGGAGCCTGATAGTAGATGAAAGATTTAAACATGATCTAGTTTATATCAGATACACCAACAGATCACTAAATAAACTTATTGTGGAGCACAAATATGACATTGAAAAGAAGAAACAAACCACTGCTGTGTCCATCTATGCCTCCGAAACAAAGCAAAATCTAACTTTGAACAAACTAGCCTGATTGGGCATACTACCCAAATTGAGCAGGTTAAAACACAAGTAGCTCTAGAAATTTACAAAACAAGATGGAAAGAAGAATGTATTAATTTCAAAGAAGAAGGGAAAATTTCAAGCATTTGGCAAACACTTTACAATGATCTAAATTAAAAGCAAGATGGCAGATCTCACTGCATGTGAAGAAAAACTATGATAAATATTGTTTAATCTGGAAGCAAAAACTGTTCGTCTCCAGGATGAGTTGCACCTGCTTGTTTTATAATACAGATTGCACTTGAGAAAAGGGTTAAGACTAGAGTCCCAACCAAGACAGTAAATATAAAATAGGTCTACTGTAGTAAGGTAAGCTGAGCTTTCTGTAAGAAAGTAATGCAATAATATGTTTTGCCCAGAAATTAACAAAAATGTAATTAAGTATGACATGTAGTAGCAATAAATAAAAAAATTAGATCTGATTATAGTATTTCATTTCGAAATGCTTAATTTATTATCCCAACTTTTCCTAATTTTCCAGAATTTAGAAACTCGAGCTTAGATAATGAAAAAAGGAAAGGTAACAATATTATGATAAATTTATCCAATAACATGAAATTATCCATAATGAGAGGAAAAATATGCCTAGTTATCACTAAATACAAAGTGTGACAACATGGTTTGGTGAATGTCCAAAAAAAAAAAAAAAACGATTGTATTGCATAAGGAAAACTAAACTAAACTTTACTGGCAAAAACAATGTAATCACTCTGTGATACAATACACTTTTGACAATACAGTAGAACCTCGAAAACTCGGCTCTCGATAACCCGGCACTCCGGATAACTTGGCCACACCCTGCAGGGCAAAAAAATCCTTAGTTAATTAATTTTCATTATAGACAGCTTTATAAAAGTATAAAAGCTCTCATAAAGTATTTTTCTGAGGTCTGTCTTATCAGGTAAATTACTGTACACAGTGTATTCATTAATTTTCATTTTCATGTAGTAAAGGCTCCATGCCTTCATAAAGGACATACTTTTCCTTTGTTTAAGGGTATTTGGGCAGTTTATTCTCTGTTATATTCTCAAGTAAACAATACATACAAGTACAGTACAGTATTTTCTGAGGAAACACTCGTACTTATTTTTTTTAACCCCATTCCCGATAACCCGGCATTTTCACAAACTCGGCCACCCTTAGGTCCACATTAGGCCGAGTTTTTGAGGTTCTACTGTATTTGTATAAATACTGGAAAGCTTTAGGAAAATCTTTTGGTATTGACTTCATAATGGATGTCACATTTGCCTGGATGTCTGGAATGTCTACAAATTTCTACAATTGAAGCTATCCCTAATCATGGAAATAAAGCAAAGTTGGTTTGAACCAAATCAGGTGTGTAAGTTGGATGATTCAGCTTAACATTAAATTCCATGTTTAGCCAGAAAATCCTTCACTACAGCAGCTGTATGAAGCTGCTTCCCTAAGTCAACTGTCAATACCTGACAAATTGTTTCATGGTTTATGCCAAGTTCTTCAAACATCATGCAAGCACTCAGCCATCTATCCCGCAATATTAGATCACAAACTCTCTTCACATTATTGGATGACATGGAGGTTGTCGGTCATCCACTACAAGGAGCATTTTCAAGAGATTCATTTCCTTCACAAAAGTGTTTGAATCAATTGTAGAGACAATTTTTTGTCACTGCTTCATCTCTGTAAACAGTTTTCAGCATATCATGAGTTTCTGATGCAGTTTTACTCAACTTAAAGTAGAACTTGATGTTGACTCATTGCTCCATTTCTTGCTATTGCCATTTCTCCATTGCCATTTCTTAATGACAACCATCACAATACACAGCTCATGGGGGTGTTCTTTTATTCCTCTGTGTAACCCCACACAACTGGCATACATTTAAAAATTCCTGAGGAACACATTCCTATATTCCTGCCAGACTGCATGATGTCATACAGCAAAAATGACCACTTGCAGTAGTACTTTACAGTGGAAAGAAACACTGCATCCGCCATGGCTCAGGTAGTTTTGTTCAGTGTCCATTATGTGGTTTTATGAATGAAAATTTAGAAGTTGTTTGTGCATATGGTGATCTAAGTGTCATCTTGAATTTTTTTGTGTTGCTGCTTTGAATGCTCTGTTGGCAAGATCATTCATTTTATGCTTAAATTTTACAATTGGGACCCTACTTTTGTCTTTAAAAACACATATTTTAAAATCATAGATCCCTCCATCATGACACTATTGATAATATGGGCATTGCCATCTTTCTTTCTTTCACCATCATTCCTAAATGCCTACAAACAGCGGTGCATTCCCATAGTAGCAGAGACACAGAGCAACCACTATTAACAAATGCACCCATGTAATCATACAAGTGCATGAGTTACAGGTCTCAATCAATCAAAAAAGTCCCTACTTATTAGCACATCTGAACTGTACTCTATATTTAGTTTCACTTTCCAAAATCACTCACCTTAATAGTAACATTTCCATTCACTGAACTTTATTGTCACATCTTGTATATTGTATATTATCAAATTCAATAAATCTCTTTGCTTTAGTAATTTAATATACATCTTACAGTCAATTAATTTATTCAAACTTTCAGCAAAATGCAGATGAAATTTTAATCTATATATTATGAAGTAAAATTTACAGCTATTGTTATATTAATAAAAATTAGAAACTAAAAACTATATAAAGCATTATGATGACAAGTTAAAACTTGATTTTGTTTAAAGTACTTTTGGAATTCACTATTTCATAACAATTTAGTTATTTTCTTACCATTTATTCTTAAAATTGAATTAAATTGATATTCTTCAAATAATATTTCAGTCATATTTTCTTGAATTGATGTGAAATTAAAGTAAGGTTCAGTGACAATTAAGCACGTTTCAGAAAATTCAACCTAAAATTAAAAAATTTATTAGTTTCTTTCATTATTTTATATAGCATTATTAAACATAATTAAAACAAAGAAAATAGTTATTTGTGTTTTTTTGTGCATTTTATTTTTTTTATCATTTTTACATAGTGAAAACACACCAAAACTGTAAACAAAATAAAAAGCAGCAAATTGTTACATGATGTTAAAATTAATTCTATATACATGGCTTTTAATCAAGGATGACACTGGTATGTTGCAGACAGTAACTGGGAGTATTGCAAGATTTTAAAATTTAAATACTAAGATTAAAAAAAATACTAAGATCTTTAGAGAGACAAATAAGAACAAGAAGCTGAGAAGATATAAAGAAAAAATAAAGAGTTTTCAGAATACAACTGACTATTAAAGAGATTTGCTTTCATCTGTATGCTCAAATTTTCCATTCAAAGCAATGCAAAGAAATAGTCAGTTTAAATTGCTTTAATTTATATCAGGTATTGTCTTATGAAATACCTGATATTAATTACCAATGAACAAAAATATTTGTATAATTTTTATTCCTTTTACTGGTTTTTGTGGTATTTTGTGTGTAATTTTATTCTAAATAACTTATTTTTTGATATGGTAAATGTTTTAACTTACAATTATATATATTGATAAATTATATATAGACAATGACGCAGTTAAGATATAAGAGGGAACAACACACACATACACCCATTCAGAACACATAGAAAGCAAGAAAATGCTGCCAGATAAAACAATACAGACAATATGTCAACATATGCTTAACAGCCCTAACACATATACAGTCAAACTTCTATATAATGAAATTGCTAAATCCTGGAAAAAATTTGCTGTTGGGAAATTTCATTATACAGAAATTATACTTTTTGGTAAATAAAGTATTATTTTAATGCATTTTTTTGTTATTTCACATAATTTAAATTAATGTAAACATAATATACAGTACTAATGTAATATAAACAATCTGCAATTTTTTGTTGCACAGAACAATTAAAAACTGTTCTCTCTGCATAATATGCTTCACATGTATTAAGAGAATATACCCTTCACCTATTACTATCATCATTGATTATACTGTTCCACGATTTGTGGATTTCTCATCCCAGGTTGTTGTTAATTTTATTAGTTTGCCTTTTTATGTAGATGTGTTCATATAACTGTCTTTTAAAATTGTCACTTTCCTTTTTCTTTTTTATTGTCAGGTTTTAAAGTTATTGTAAATTATTTTTAATGTTATATATCTTGTTTTTAGCATATCAATGTGTTAAACCGGCTGAAGAGGGACCTAGTGGTCCGAAACACAAATATTATGTGTACAGGGAAAAACAACAGGTGAAAAATAAAAAAATTATTTTTTTCTGAATAAGAATTCCTCCTTTGCAAAAATTAGCTCACCAGTATAATAGTCCTATTAATATGATAAGACCTTAGTTAGCAATAATATAATAATATAGTATAATATAAGGACATAAGGCAACTGAATTAATGCTAAACTTGCTTTTCTATTGGAATGCTGAGATGTAGGACTTCATCTGATGTCTATCTGGAGAATTCACTACTGGATGGTTGTGCTTCTTTACTTTTGAAAATATGTTTTGTGTGCTTAACAAAGGCAATCCATTGTATTTGACGCTACAGATACACTCTCCTACAAGAGCTTGTACGATTGGAGGATTCTGTTTATTAGTTTTTGGCTAGTTTACTAATTGAGATTAACATTGATAATAATGTGAGCAAGATTCTGATACTTTGACTGACAGAGTCAATTGGTCAATCACAATTGATCTAGGTTGGCCAATCCGATATATTATTATATATTAAACTATGCTCAATCATTGTATAATTTTTCAAGTATTACACCATTCTAAATATTTGTTTAATGCTTTGTGCAGCAACTATTATATAAATTTGAACTTACTTTAAATACATCTCTTCCAAATGTATAATCCCAAACTTGTTTTTCAACATCCCAATTCACCAAATAACCCTGTAAATAGTGAACAGTATATAAATAAAACTTTCTAGTACATACATTAACTACAAAACATAGTACTGATTATAACTGTAGCTATCATAACTTAATAATAAAAGAAACCAATACATGCATAATACATTTCTTTATCAGTTGCTAAAATCAAATACAGTGGAACCTCGGTATATGTCTGCTTTAGAATATGTCCAATTCAGAATACATCCTGTTGGACGAAACAAATTTCGCTTGGTATACAACTTAATTCAATTATACGCGCCATCTATGAACAAGTAGCACTATCGGTGTAATACACCAGACTAGACATTCGCGGTGCTATGGTTTATAACTTTGTTAAATTTCTTTTGATTTTAATTTGTAAGTAACATTTTATTATTTTTATTAATCATGAATTGCAAAAGGGCAACAGAAAAATAAAAAAGTGACTAGAATCACAACAAAACTGAAAAAAGAGACTGTTGAGAAATATGAAGGAGGCACGCGTGTTCGAGATTTAACTGTTGCATTCCGTATTCCGAGAACGATATCGACAATCGTGAAAAATAAAAACATTATTAAATTTGCTAACGTTGCAAAAAGGGTTAAATCAATTTCTAAACAGAGATCGAAGACATTAGATCATGTCGAGAAATTGCTTTTGCTTTGGATAACTGAAAAACAGTGTTCCGGCAACAGCGTATCGGAAGAAATTATTTGCGAGAAAGTTGAAAGGATACATGCTGATCTCATGAAAAATAAAGCAGAAACTAGCCAGGAAAGCGAGGTGTTTAAAGCCAGCCATCTTTTTTTTACATGAGAACGGATTAATCATTTTTACATTACTTCTTATGGAAAAGGTTGGTTTGGTATATGTCCTATTCGGTATAAGTCCAAACACCAGGAACGGATTAAGGTTGTATACCGAGGTTCCACTGTACTTGACTTATCCAGAAATGTTTTTATTTTTATTTATTTGATATATTTATTGTATAATTTTAAAAAAAATGTTTTTAAATTTTAAATATTTGAAATTTATATAAATAAAGTTTGGTTTGATTTGTTTAAATTTTGTGTAATGTGCAACCTAATGATGATTGCTAAATATGATGAACATGATAGTTATTAAATAAATTATAAATTACTGGAAGATTTATTTATTCCAAACAGGGCCACATTCCCTGGAAGGGGGTAGAATACAGATTTAATAATACAAAATTTGTTTATCAAGGATCAATTAATTTAATTAAAATTATTAAATCAAATTAATTATAACAATTATATTATAAGATCAGAATGTTCAATGATGACTCCGGATATATTTTTCTTCAAGATTTGAAGTTAAGACTATTTACAAAAATATAATACATTTTCGAGTCTATCTTTTAATCCTTTAACACAGTGTTTTTCAATCTGTGGGTCGCGACCCCCAGGGGGATCACAAAGCCATACACGGGGGGTTGCGGGTGAAAGAAAAAGACAAGTGTTTGTAGGTCCTACACTACAATAAAAAAACTACAATTTCAGTGAGAAGGCTGTACCTGTTTATTTCACAGTACAATTGGTTTTTTTTTATTGATATTTAAATCTCAACAGAAAGAAAATTAAATACATACAGTAGTTTTTAAAATCACTGACATAGTTTTAATATGGCCTTGGGGGATCGCTAGAATTTTTTAACTTATAAAGGGGTCGCATATTCAAGAAGGTTGAAAAACACTGCTTTAACACAACCACAGAAGTAACAGTTATATTGGTTTAAAGAAATTATTATTATTTGTCTTGTTTTATGAAGTTTTTCTTCAAACCAATATAACTGTTACTTCTGTGGTTGTGTTAAAGGATTAAAAGATAGACTAGAAAATGTATTATATTTTTGTAAATAGTCTTAACTTCAAATATATTATAAGAATAAAATAATGAACTCAATTAAAGTTTGTTTAAAAATTATCATTAAAATTTATGTTATTAAATCATATAGTACATTGATAATTCAGAGATGCACTTCATTTAAATGGCCAACTCAAATCCTTGAGATAGTCATTCAGCAAGACACATTTCAGTTCTAGACCTATCTTCAGTTGCAGAGTATACAAAGAGTTGATGCTGGTTATGAATAAAACCAAAAGTAAAATAAAAAAAAGTTGTTTAAAGTAATGTAAAGGATAATATAATTATAAGTGTAATATTGATAAAGTAAAATCATATGCCGACTTAATAAAACTAGGACATCACATGGCTTTGTTATATTGCAATAGAATTGGGAGGAGCTGGAAAGAAAGAAGCGATCCCTGCATTTGCCATCACAAGAGAGTCTATCATCATACCTGCCGGTCACCAGAGTGAGAATCCTTGCAATGACTGGGTATGGAAAGGCAATCCGAAAACAAAACAATTGCCATCGATTGCTTTGTTCCTGTGTTTTGTTCTTGTTTCATGCCTATATTTCATTAGATACATGAAATTCTGTTTTTATTTTTGATCCCCAGGTCTAAATTCCATTAGGTGCACTCAGTCATATCAGAGAGCATGGACATTGTTACTTTAATACCTGTGAATATTGATCTATAATAGGAAGCTTTAAGTAAATTAAAATTTATATTCTGCAGTAGATTCTTTTAAATATTCTAAGTAATGCTCCTGTCTAAAAGTATTCAAATATTGACAATTGTACAATAAATGAAGTATAATATTAACACCTCTATCACTATATAGACATTTATGTTTAAACAATAAATACAACTCATAATCTACAAAAAAAACATAGTTTAATAGAACTAATGAATGGGATTTATTATACTCTCATTGTATTTATTTAATTCTTTCCAAGATGCAGTTCAGCATTATTGGCCCAGTCCGTTATTTGATCTAGATATATCCTAATCTTTAGATCCAGATAGGTCTAATCTTTAAATGGACTGATGAGGAGATCTGTGTACCCAAAATTCCATCCCATATTCATAAAAGTTATATTTGAATGAGCAATTGTTTATTGTGACATTGCCACAATGCTCAGGCTTGTCACACAGGCAATTGTCACAGCCTGCAATTTTTAATCACTTTTTTAAATTTATTTAATTTAAAATATATACTTTTTACCTCAAATTAAAAGTTCTTGCTCCTGTACATCATAATTTCCTGCTAGCAAGAGTTATGCCATTCATATAACTAACTCGTTTCAGGGAAAAATTTTTGAATTGAAATAACATGATTTCTGGTTTGCATCAAAAGTTTGCTTATAACTATAAGCAAACTTTTAATGCAAACCAGATTATAGGTATTGTCCTATTATAGGGTCTCCTGTCCATAAGGTTTCCATATCTGGTCTTGGCTTTCATCTATCTAACTCACTTCTTGAGATTAAGCAAGAACAGACACATGGACGAATGACAGTGGGAATTTATAGGTCTACAATTTTTTCAAATTGCAGCACAATAAGTTAATTGAGTCTGGTTCCATCTTGTCCCGACGTAATAAGCCTCTTTTGTTTAGCAATTATTTGATAGGCTATTTGTTTAATAAATATAATTTAGTTCTTGCACTCTACTGATGTGATTGAAATGTGGATAAAGATTATTCTGGTAAGGGCTTTGAATGCCACCAATTTATAAGAGATCAGATTGTACAATATCACATAAATGAATAGCAGATGGTATGACAGTTTCCCATATATTCTGGTAAATATATATCCTTCCTGAATAATGATGTTAAGATCGAGGAAATGTGCTGAGATAGGGCTTTCCTGCAGATGTAGAACAAAAGGGTTAGAATTAATGGAGTTGATGAAATCCTGGATATTGGCTTCGTGGCATCATATAAGAATGTCATGAACATACTTCGTGTAAAGAATGATATGTGAAAGGATCATTAAACATTTTCATTTTTGATGGAGAGTTTGATTTTTCTTTCTTTTCATTTTTTTCTTCAACATTATTATCTGGTTTCTGCATTGCTTATATGCTTTTATATGTTCTCAAAATTATTTTTACTTTTAATTAATTTATTAAATTTATATTAAAAATAAATATGCCTATCAAAATCGTGCAGATTTTTAGTTTACACACCAATATTGTATGAGACCCAAGGAATACTTGTCAAATCAAAGGATCAGGGATTGTATGAGAACCAAGGAATAATTGTCAAATCAAAGGATCGGGCTTTGATTCTAATGCTCGTAAAAACTGGAAGAAAAACCTAAATAAAATCGGGAAAGAGTAAAATTATTAATCAAGAGAAGAAAAGTTTTTAAATAACCTTAAAAGGAGATTACGTGTCTGACTTACAAGAATTTGAAACAATTAAATATGAGCAGAAGTTTCAAAGTGCAATTAAGTTTCCAGGATCAAATAAAACACAGTGTCAAATTTGACCCTTCATAGCCTGAAATGGTCTGTTATCTACCTGGATACAAAAAACCAACCAATCACAAAGATAGAAATCCAGAGAATCCTTTAAAAGCATGGATCTCAAGGACTAAGGCAGACCTCTACCTCTAGTTGTGAGTTGTATCCCTAGTCTTCATTGTTCTACATACAAACTCTTAATCCGTAACATCACCATCCTGCCTTGGACTTTTTTGGTTTTCAACACTTCGTCATCTAACTTGCCAACACCCATAGAAGAACCTCAACTGACTGCTCCAGGGCCATAAACTCTACAGTCCAGCTCCAACAGTTGATGAGACACACTATAGATTGTAAGATTTAGCATAAATAAATGGGGTTTATTTGTCACTGCAGATATCTGCCTCACTTTCTTTCACTACACATCTGATAAATCCTGACATTTAGTTATCCCCAATTCAGCAACCTCACAATCGTCTTAGAAGTAAATTTGTGTTAATATTCTGTAAATATATAAAATATTTTTCTTTTTCTCAAGAAGTAAAAGCCACAAGCTTTCTAATGATAGATTACAAGTACAAAAATAATTTTCAGTAAAACTGATAATTACTCTTGATATTCTTTTTCAATGCCTTTACGCAAATTTTAGAAAGATATTAAATTATTAAACAACACATTAGTATATCTATTTGTTGCGAGACTTTGGAATTTCATTAATCAATAGATACATTCACTGCATTATTTTTATATTATCAAATTTAAAACAATCTCATTAAAAATTTATTTTTACCTTTTGAAATGGAAGAATATAAAATAATCCAGACACATCTTTGCAGTCATCAATCTGATCTCCAGTGAAAGAACGTTGGCGTTCACTTTTTGCTTTTGTAATGCAGTTTGGAATAATTCTTAAAAAAAAAAAAAAGTTTAATCAGAATTTCAAATCGTATAATCTAATTAAAAACTGTAAATAATATTAACAAAATATATTTTAATTGTTGGCCAGACAGCTGAAACAATTAGGTATCAGTCAGCTCCATATCTGACTATCTGGAGGACCTAAGATTAAAACCAAACAACCACCGGATTACATTCGACTATTTTTCCATGATTATATTTAATTAATTACCAAATAATTTGTCACTAGAGGGAGGCATTAGGCTCCATCTCTTATTAAATTTAATAATTATAATTAAATTAATATTTATTAAACAATTGAGAATATTCTGAAAGAAAAGAATTGACCCAGAGCAGGACTTAAATCTGCAACTCCTGCTTACCATGTGGATGTGTTGCCAGTTACACTACCCAAGCCTCTTTTCTGATAGCTTCTAAAATAGACCTAGGATTGAATATGGGCAAAGAACTCTAGGAATTTTTCCACAAGAGCCCAGTTATGTCAGACCCCATCCCTTGCTTGCCCATTGTGAGCCTATTGAACCTACTTTATAACAGACCTGGGAAAAAACCCTCTTAGTTCCCACAGGACAGAGAAAATATGAAAAAATAAAATAGAAAAATAGTAGAATTTGGCTAAGAAGTTCCTGTATTAGAAGTTTTCCCATGTAAGAAGTTTAATTTCAAAAGTTCAAATTTTTTTCTCTAAGAGATGTGTAAGTTTTTCCTTATAAAATTTAAGAAAATTTCCTGCTTAAGTATATAGAAATCCTTGTCTATGACTGTAAAATAAAATCACTTACGACTGTATCCCATCAAAAATTTTATATATTTAATTTCATATAGAAAAAGAAACAAATTACTTGAGGAAATGAATGCAATTTCTTGTGTCATCGTACATGTGACTTTGGATTACTTGGAATTTTATAATTTTCTCAACTATTATTTGTAACAATGCTTGTAATATATGGTATGTGGTAAAACGTTTATGATGTGCTCTTTGACATCTAGTTCCTTACATTGGTCTGACTAGTATTTTTCTTTATCTTACCTAGCTGCATATTGGAACTCAGCACTTAGCCTTCTGACTTCTTTCTTTCCTGTAGCTTTGGCCTTTTGCCTCTGATTTACAATTTTGAATGTTGCTTCCTTAAGCCATTTGGATATTTTCAATGACTTTTTATTTGAAATATATGATGAGGTATTCCTCTATAATACAGTCAAACCTCAGATTTTCAAATTAATTTGTTCTTAAAAGTTTACATATCAACTTCTCAAAGCCCAATGTATTGTTATTAATCCAAACTCTCACCATAATTAATCGGGCTATTATTTAAATATGTCTGGAAGCCAAGACTTGCTCAGTATCCGGATGGCATAACTGGAAAGTGTACTGCATAGTAAGCAGAGGTTGCTCCCGGCTAGTCCTTTTCTTTCAGAATAGGCTAAATTACTTATTAAATTATTATAATTATTAACTTTGATAAGATATGGCCCCTAATGTCTATGTCTAATACCAAATTATTTAGTTTCTAATTATTAATTATAGCATAATAATAGCCCAATTAATCAGAGCAACAGTTTAGATTACTAACAGTTGTTCTAAAACAGAAACAAATTTTCCCATAAGAAACAATACAAAATGATTAATCTGACCAACCCCTAAAACAAAAACCTGTTTTCCATCATTTTAGCTGTACTTCATGCATAAAAAAATGCTTATAATGCTATATANGAATGGAGACTTGGGGCTATCACCACATACGAACACCATTCACGTGCGATGTGTAGTTTTGGCGAAAAAGTGAAATATAGGGACATACACGTCCATTTATATATATATATATATACTAGATTATATATATACTAAAAATTCTCCCATCAAGCATGACAGAATATTTTTTATGAGAAAGTAAAGATTGAAGAATTGAGAGCTTCAAGCCAAGCTTGATGTTGTGATGCTGTTTCAGCAGCCATTGACAAAGCCATTCTTATTCAATGTTACTCAAGTCGGACTTCGCAGTCCTCATGGGTCACAGTTCTTATTCTTTGAGATCTAGAATTTACCTGACCAATTTTACTCTTATGCTTTCCCTAAGCATTTTTTGGTTTTTTTTTTTTTTTTTTTTTGACAAAATAGCGAAACCTTTTATCTGGTAACAGCACTTCAACGAAAACTCTAACATTTTCGGCCTTCACCAAGACATGCCTCAGGATTTTTAATGAAACCGAATTTCCAAAGTCGAATGTCAGAACGATGATGTTCGAAAATCACTTTTTTAAAATTTCGAATATCTCATCACATGAGGCGAATTTATACCGTTGTTTCACTAAAACCATAAAAATGCGATCATGTGATCTATACTAAATTTTTAAGCCTTAAGCCGTATAAGATGAAATTATGGTATTAATATGGTACAGTAATAGGTCCTAGGTTAGCAGAAATAGCTATGAATTAATCTTGAACCAAGACATCTCCATCCTTGAATTTCTTGAATCAAACTGTAGCAGCATCAACTTCATAAAAACCTTACAATGTCTCCAGCAGAAAATTTTCATTTTCAATAATCTATAGTATAGACAGGGAGACTATCCCATTTGTGGATAAGAGACTAATCTGATTTGGTTTTTGCTTTCTAGAAGGGACATTTTTATGTGTGGTACGGTGGCTTCATCATTGGATGTATATCATAGTTGCAGTTTGTGCCTTTTTGTCCAAATTATATGACTTCAGCCAGCAGAAGGAAGAATAAAGGTATCATCATAGCATCTCAACTTTGGTATTACGATAAAAATAACTGGGCTATGTAAAAGAATTTGATACTCATTAATAAACATCCATTTTTTACTTTGTGTTGAAGTTATTTCTATTATCGTACCCTTATTATTTTTCTTAACAAACAGTGTTATTTCAATTTTTTTAAAAATAGTTTTATAGCAAAGACGAAAGTTTCATAGTTCTTCATAATGTACTAGTATACGAAGATTTTTAAAGAACAATAATCTTTTCAACTATCTTGACCCGTTTTTAACAGAACTAAATACAAAATAAGCGAGATTGTAATTTGTAACACTTAATTTACTAATGTTTACGAATTTAAAAGATATCGGGAAGTAGCGAGGAAAAAACATCCAATGGGGCTAACCGGCCAATAACAGAGCACGTGGGTCTTCTCCGAGTACAAATTAAAAACACGCGTAACGAACACGCGGACAGACATTTAATACTAGAGTTATTCCGCCAATTAGACTGCATTAAAAGCCCGGAATCCGTCCTTGGACTCGACGTGGACTCGATTCCTAAACCAACGATAATACGGAAACGGTTACGGATCCAAGGGAGGAGAATGGGGAAAATCAAAGACTAACCTGGGATCCGTTTGAGAGGCATATCCCACTTTCTCCGTAAAAGCGCCGTTATCCAACACCAACACTTTATTGTTCATTTTCGTTTCTTATGACAAATCAACCGCGCGCCATTTTTTTCTACGCTACGGATCAGTGTTGCCAGAATACTTTACGTTCTCGTTTTGGCTCACTCTTCAAGTGTTGTAAAGTCTCATATTTTAATTATTAGATGTAACGAAATGGCAAAAATTCTGCTGCCGTTTACGATTTTTGTAATATTACCAGGCGTTAATAGCCTCTCCCTTTCTGTTAATAACTATTTTTTCAACCAATTTTACACCGTTTTGGTCGTTATATAACTTAATCTAAATCTACAATACGGGTCGAGATTCAAAAAGCAGTTTCCTTCTAATATTAAATTATTACATTTCTAAACAAGATTTCTACGTACTTCGAAAACGTATTAAAATAACACTAATTAACGAATAGAACATTTTAATTCAAAATACAGTACTAAAATTCTGAACGTAAACGAACACGAGAATATATTAATTAGCATACTATACGTAATGTCGAAAATATAATATACGTTTGCTTCGACAAAAAGTTGTAAACGTAGCAGATTTACGTTTCTTGAGCTTTAATAAAACTGGCAGGTATAAGCTGAATTGCGATTTATAACTTAGATAAAAGTTGTATACAGGGCCCGCTCCAGGGGCGGGCGACCCGGACATTTGTCCGGGGCACCAAAGTTTAGGGGGCGCCATTTTGGCTGTAAGTGTGAGAAAAATATTGATGTGTTAAATACTCAATTAATAGAAAATTTCACGTATTTTTCGTTGTCTAAACATTTACAGTGCGTATCGTATTTATATTGTTTATGTCTAAAAGCTAAAAATATTTACACTATTATTGAAAAATTAACGCAGAATTTGTAAAGGACGATGCTCAAACTTGTTCGAACACGCATATACTTGTGAAATTCGCAGTTCATATAATTTCATAAAAGAAATTAATCCTTTAAATTTTTAATAAATTTAAATAAAATTCCTTTAACTAGAGGAATTTGACCCTACAAAAAACGAAATATAAAGTGCATGAGAAATTTATAACTCTTTCTATGTTAACGATAAACATTCTCACGAGCAAACCAGATATAGTTTACAAGTATCGACGAAATTCGTCATATTGTTGTCATTCTAACGCCATCTTTAACCTCACACCTGCTAAAACAATTGGTCACCTGAGGAATTTTCCCACGCCATCCTTGACAAGAAAGTAGGTCATTGACCTGTGGCCGGCAAGGAGAGGATCTTCTTCCCTCCCCGGTAGCTCACAAATTGGTGTCACGGGAGTGGGGTCTTCGAGCTGAAGATCCCTAGACATCTCACATACTTCTTTGAACAGAATAGCATCATCACGCGAGCAGAGCGCTGCTTCAGCTTGTGTTGGAATATGCATAGACTCGCTTATACTTACCTCTAATTATAAAAGAGCTGTTTCATTACACAATAGCATTATTTTCGCTGTTAAGTCGGTAGTGATAACAAGTGGAAGTTCATAAAATTTACTTAAGTGCGATTTCCTAATTTTTAAAGGTAAGTACAGTAATAACTAAGCTGTTGTTTAGTTTGTTAGATACTAGTTTATCATAAATCGATTATCCAATCCAAACAATGAAAGCGTTTTACATAAAATAAATATTTAATTTATCTAAAATGGCTGTTTATTAAATTAATAAAATATTGTATTAAACTTGAATGTATTCTATATGTATAATTATAGTTGTCCCTTGATAGTCCGACGCTTTGTAATCCGACATGCTCAGTAGTCCGACGCATCTCCCATCAAGGTCCCCGTCTCTGTTACGTGTCTGTTTGCACAGAAGCATGTCGCGACGTGAATCTCCCACCCAATTCTTACATGATGACACACATTTCATGTGTTTTCCATGAGCAGTTCTGTTCGAACAGTTGGAGTAGGGAATATTGTAGGCTACAGCTAGCAAAACAATGTCAAATATGTAATCACTTTCGGTAATCCGGACACTTTTGGTAATTCGTCACCCCTTTGGTCCCGTACCTGTCGGATTATTAAGGGACAACTGTATTTGAATCAATAATATAAGACATTTATTAAGTTCATTGCTTCGATAAAACGCGTTTTATAATAATATATTTGAATAATTGAACTGAATAAAATCTCAAAATCAAGAATTATAAAATTGTTTTTTAATGACTATTTATGGTTTGCTGAAATATTTGTTATTATAAAATACATATATAAAAACATTAGACTTTCTTTACGTTCGCAGGATACGAAAAATATTATGTGTAAGCCATAAATATTTTTTGTCCATTGACAGAATATAATTTTGAATAATGTTAATTACTTATAGGTTTTAGCTTATTTAGAACAAGGATAAATCTTTATTTTTTTAAACATTATTTTATAGTTTACATTGTTTAATTTATGTGCGTACATCTTCCAGAATGTCTAACGATCAAAGAAAACTATCTGGTTACCAGTACAAAAAAAGAAGGCTGGAAAAGGAAGCCGAAAGGCAAAAACAAGCTGGCGCATTAAAAAATTATTTCTAGAGTTGTTGTTCCAAAACAAATGACAATTTTGAGAATCCAAAATCGAGTCCGGTTATAAAAGAAAATACAAAATCGTCAGAGGATGATGATAACAAACAAATGGACGAAGTTTCTAAATCAATTGGAACTGACAACACTCCGACTCTATCATCACCAGATGAAAGCATTGAAAAAATTGACACCAACGTGACTCCCACAGAAAGCGTTCTACAAACTTTGAGTACAGATCCAGCATTGTGGCCAAGAATTTTAGGAGACGCCGAAAGAAGTTTTTTAGTAAGACAAGGCCCACCTAAACCATTGCATAATTACAAATTTCCTTCCAATGACACTGGTCGACATTTTAGCGTAAATTATTACACACGAATTTTAAGCAATGGAAAGCAAGTTTTACGAGACTGGCTAATGTACTCTCTTTCACAAAACTGCGCTTACTGCTTCTGTTGCAAAATTTTCGGCTGTATAGTTAGTTCTCTTTCAAAGGAGGGTTTTAAAAGTTGGAAACACCTCGGCGAAACTTTAAAAGAGCATGAAATTTGCAAAAATCATATTCAGGCCCAAAAATCATGGCTAGAAATGAACGTAAAATTAAAATGTTGCAAAACTATAGATGCGGCCTCTCAAAGAATTATTAATGCCGAAACAAATTATTGGAACGAGGTGCTTCTAAGAATCGTAGCAATTACTAAAATGATGGTAAAAGTAGTCTGGCTTTTCAAGGTACATCCGACAAGTTGTTTGAGTATAAAAACGGTAATTTCGTAAAAATAGTTGAGTTGCTATCTCAATTTGATCCCATTATGGAAGAGCACGTCCGTAGAGTGCTAAAAAAAGAAGAGACTAAAGCTCACTATCTCGGGAAAAATATACAAAACGAGATAATAGATCCGCTGCATCAAAGTGTAAAGTCTCATATTATTGAAGAAATAAAAAAATCAAAATATTTTTCCATAATTTTAGACTGTACTCCTGACATTAGTAAGGTAGAGCAAATGACTCTTGTAATCAGATATGTTTCGATCAATAAATTTGACGCTGATGTTGAAATTAAAATTAATGAAAGGTTTTTAGGCTTCTTACCAGTCGAAAGATCCACAGGAAAACAAATGTCTGATTATAATTGGAGAACTGAATGACTTGGGTTTAAATTTGCAGGATATCAGAGGGCAGGGATACGACAACGGGTCCAATATGAGGGGCGATAAAGTAGGAGTGCAATCTAGAATTAAACAATATAATTCGCGAGCATTCTATGTTCCGTGTAGTAGCCACTCTCTCAATCTTGTTGTTAATGATATGGCAAAATCATCCTCGGAAGCCGCTAATTTCTTCAACACGGTCCAAAAAATATATTTATTTTTTTTCGGCATCTACTTTTCGATGGGCAATACTTTTAAAACATGTTCAAGGTTTAACTTTCAAACCATTGAGTGACACTAGATGGGAGAGTAGGATAGAGACCTTAAAGCCTTTGAGATTTCATTTGGGAGATGTATACGACGCCTTGCTAAGCATTTACGAAAACCAAGAAATTGATAATTTAATAAGAGACGAGGCCTCAGGTTTATTAAATTGTATTAAACAATTTAAGTTTTTGTGTTCATTAGTTATTTGGCATAAAATACTAAATTCCATTAATCCAATAAGCAAGTTGATGCAAACAAAAGATTTTAATCTAGCCTTTGCACTTGATCTTTTACAAAACTGCAAAATATTTTTTAAGAATCTTCGATCGGATTCGTCCTTCGATGAAACTATTATCGACGCAAAAGAACTCGCTACCGAAATTGATGCGGAAGCTAATTTTGGATCAACAATAACACGACACCGCGTTAGAAGAAGGAAAAGGAACTTCTTATACGAAGCACCAGATGAACCCATCAAAGATCCAAAAGAAAAATATAAAATAGATTTCCTTTTACAATCGATCAAGCACTAAATGCACTAGATGCTAGATTTGAACAACTTAGTAATCATAGTAACTATTTTCAATTCTTATATAACATATACGATTTAAATATCATGTCCAAAGAAATGCTACTAAAACACTGTAAGAATTTAGAATGCATTTTAACTGATGGTGATTCTGTTGACATAAATGGGGTAGAATTAGCGGAGAAAATTTCAGTAGTATCTGCGCTTTTGGGCAAAAAAGAAAGCCTAAGCAATGTACTGAGCTTAATTACAAAGTTAAATTTTGCCCCAAATCTTGCTATTACTTTAAGAATATTGCTAACGATACCAATAACTGTAGCGAGTGGAGAAAAGAGTTTCTCTAAGTTAAAATTAATTAAGAACTTTTTACGTTCGACTACTACAGAAAATCGTCTTAATGGTTTAGCCATTTTGGCAATTGATCATGAAATTGCTGATCGAGTAAATTTAAAAGATACAATAAAAAAGTTTGCAGAATTAAAAGTAAGAAAAAAAAGTATTTTTGTGATTTTAGTGGAGTTGACGTTCCCTTGTTTTATTTTCAAAATAATGGCATTTTGATTGTTTGTACAATAATACATTTTTAATAGCATATAAAAATGTAAAAAATTATATGGTTAACAATTTATGGCTAGATACAGATATTTCTTAATTTCTACTGTTTTGTA